GCAGCAGTCAATGCGGCAACTCCAGGGAAAAAGGAGAAGGCACTGAGAGGCAACGCCTTGGGACTGGTGAATAAAGGGAGGAGGTGTGGGCGGTGCTGGTTGCTGAAGGCAACCGTTTGCAAAGTGCTTCTTGGAATCCTGGTCTGTTCGTCTTCCTTGTGACTTCTCTGTTCGTCTTGCTTGTGACTTCTCGTCTGTTTGCATTGTGTTTCCTTTGGACTTGAGTTTTGCTGTTTGTGTTTTGGACTATTTGACAGGTTTGTCAACCATATGAAAAGAGTTTTGTTTTGTTGCAAAGTCTCCAGCCTATTGCATCAGCAGGGGTTTGGTCCTTGTGCCTTTAACAAGGACGGCAATAGGCTGGGATAGAACATCTAGAGTGGGGTCGGCTGATTGAACACATAACATAGAATAATTGGGCTGGAAGGGACCTCTGATTGGGCCCAATGTCACTTCCTCAGCTTTCCTGGCTAAGGCAGGACTAGAACTCACTGTCGGCTGGCGATTGGTCTAAAGTCATCCAACTGGTTTGGTGCCTAAGGCGGGACTAGAACTCGCCGTCGCCTGGTGATTGGCCCAAAGTCACCCAGCTGGGTTTCATGTCTAAAGCAGGACTAGAACTCATTGTCACCTTTTGATTGGCCCAAAGTCTTATAGCCGGCTTTCATGTCTAAAGCGGGACTAGAACTCATCATCGCCTGGTGATTGGTCCAATATTAACCAGCTAAATTTCATTCCTAAGGTGTGACTAGAACTCACCGTCTCCTGGTGATTGGACCAAAGTCACGCAGCTAGGTTGCATGTCTAAGGAGGGACTAGAATTAACCGTCTTCTATGATTGGCCCAAAGTCAGACAACTGGCTTTTGTGCCTAAGGAGGGACTAGAACTCACCATCTCCTAGTGATTGGCGCAAAGTCAAATAGCCGGCTTTCATTTCTAAGGCAGAACTCACTGTCTCTTGGTGATTGGCCCAATGTTAACCAGCCAGATTTCATTCCTAAGGTGTGACTAGAACTCACCATCTCCTGGCGATTGGCCCAAAGTCATCCAACCTGCTTTCATTTCTAAGGCAGGACTAGAATTCACCGTCTCCTGGTGATTGGCCCAAAGTCACCCAGCTGGATTTCATTTCTAAGGCGGGACTAGGACTCATCGTCTCCTGGTGATTGGCCAAAATCACCAGTCAGCTTTCATGCCTAAGACGGGACTACAACTCCCAGTCTCCCACTTTCCACCCTGGTGTCTTAACCACACTTAGCTACAGTGTTTTAACACCACACTGGCTTTCTGCTTTTGGAATCCCTTAATCCAGTGGTTCTCAACCTTTTTAATGCCGCAACCCCCCAACCGGTCGTAAGTCGACTACTCAACCGGTCGTAAGTCGAGGACTACTCAACTGGTGCAGCACCGTTTGCAGAATGGGACTTTTGGCGGGCTCAGCAGGAGAGAGACAGCCTGGACAATTCCTATTGGCTTTTGAAAGCCAATAGAATTAGACTCTATTCAAGAGAGTCTATTCTATTGGCTTTCAAAAGCCAATAGAATAAAAGGGAGTAGCACCGCTAAGGAAAAGGGGGGAAAAATGGCGGACTGCGTTGTTTGGCGACCCCCCGTGAAATGGTCGTTCGACCCCAAATGGGGTCCCGACCCACAGGTTGAGAACCGCTGCCTTAATCTCTCTCCATAGGAGATGAATTTCTGGCAGATCTAAATAATCTTGGACCCGAAGTAAAATAAACTTCTTTTTTTTTTTAAATCCTGAATGTTTGGCTTGCAAACTCTGAAGAAGAGGCAGCAAGTGGTGGCTTTGGGAAAGACTTTGGTTCTCTCCAGCTGACACCGGTGGCCGAAGGGATCTCGCGGAGGCTTCAAGAAAAAAAGGGCTTCGAAACATCGCTAACCAGAGCAGATGGTCATTTCAGTGTCCAGGCCATCTGGGGATAGGGGAGCCTGTCCGTCAGTTTTGCATTTGGGGAGAAAGAGGTTTGCCAAACAAGTCACAAACTCTCGGCCTTCGTGCATTCCTTCACAAATGAAGTCAGGAGAGCTTATTTGTTTCTTCCAAGTTATCCTTCTTACTTCCAGACGTGGGATGTGATTTGATGACATTCCGTTGTCTTATTTCGCTGCCCTACTCACGATCTGCCAACACGGGAGGTCCTCGCTTTACGACTACAATTTCAGCCCCAATATCTTCAGTCGGTCCTCGGCCGCAACGGAGTCCAAAATTCCCGTCACTAAGCGAGGCGGTTCTTAAAGTGAGTTCTGCCCCGTTTGACGTCTGATCACTGCGGTCTGTTACGTCGGTAACACACACGGTAGTTAAGTGAATCTGGTTTCCCCCCCCCCCAATTGACCTTGCTTGTCTGAACGTCGCAAAAGGGGATCACGTGACCCCGGGAACGAGGCCGTCGTCATAAATGCGAGCCGGCTACCGAGCGTCTGAATTCTGATCACGTGACCATGGAGACACTACAACGGTTGCAAAGTATGAGAAACCGTCATAATTAGCTTTTTTCGGGGCCGGCGTAACTTCATACGCTCATTTAACAAATGGTTGTAAGCCAAGGACTATCTGATTTTCACAGAGGAATGGCGTTCGTTCTTTCTTCCTACCCGGAACTAAACGGTGGATATTAAAAAAAAATGTTGCGCAAGACACAACAGGCTTTGGTAGTTACACCGGGAGATCTAAGGAGATCCCCCTCCCCAACGCGGGATGTGTTAAGAAATGCAAACTAACTCACAGCGGCAGGCTGGCACGTGTCTTGCAACGTGGCTGCCTTGAGTAGCTGCACAGGGAATACGCAGCCGATAAAGGAAACACGGGAAATGAAAGAATATATAAGAGGCGGTGAGCAAATCTAAGCAACTGAGTCTCGTTGTGTGATTTTTCTTTTCTTTCCCACCCCCCTGCTTCCCAAACTGTGGCACGTCTGACGAACCTGCTCCCCGATTCCCTGTGGCCGTATCACTTTCGGCTTCCGTCAAAAGAGGCCACAAACACGGTTGTGGAGGATGAATTTCAAAGCAGGTAGACGCTCGCCAATTCCCAGGCCCGTTTGGTATGCAGAACAACAATGGATGCCCGCTTCCATATTAATTTGGAACATATGCCCACACCTCGTATCTCCCCAGTCCAGGAATATGAGGAGGGGGGTGGGTGGGTGGGTGAATGGGAGGAAGAGGAAGGGGGGGGAATAGGGCCAGCTTCTCAAGGGATTTTTCTCAGAAGGGAAGGGAAGAAGGAGGTGGAAGGCTGGCAAGTTTGGGCCAGCAGAGCAAGGGGGCGGTGGGGGAAAACACGTCCAGCGAGGCTGAGATGGAAAAGGGGAGGGGCACTTGAAAAAGTCTGACACACACACATACATACGCACACCGGACAACTTGCAATGCACTAGGCTCATAGGGCTGAGCCCAATCTCCTGCAGACTGAGCAGGATTTTACAGCAGGGCTGCCCAACCTTGGCAACTATAAGGTGTGTGGACGTCAGCTCCCAGAATTCCCCAGCCAGCTGTGAGTTGAAGTCCACAGGTCTTACTGTTGCCACAGTTGAAGAGCACTGCCGAAGAGTGTGGGAGGACACCAAGAAGATACTTGTGTTCCAAGTGTGGCCTCCCCAGTGCAGTATCAAGACATACTATCACCTCATTATTAATATTATTAAATTGCGTTGTCCTTGTTTACAAGATATTATGCCTATCTTATAGATATAGGTGTACAGGTGTAGGGTTTCGTGCCTGAGCAGGGGGTTCGATTAGATGACCTCCAAGGCCCCTTCCAATTCTAATTCTAATTCTTATTATCATCTCCAAGTTCCCTTCCAATTCTATTTCTACTACTACTTGTAGTAATAGTAGTAGTAGTACCCCCAAGGTCCCTTCCAATTCTTCTTCTTCTTCTTCTTCTTCTTCTTCTTCTTCTTCTTCTTCTTCTTCTTCTTCTTCTTCTTCTTCTTCTTCCACCACCACCACCACCACCACCACTACTACTACTACTACTACTACTACTACTACTACTACTACTACTACCTCCAAGGTCCCTTCCAATTCTATTACTACTACTACTATCACTATTACTATTACTACTACTACTATCATCATCATCATCTCCAAGGTCCTTTCCAATTCTATTACTACTATTACTATTATTATTATTACCTCCAAGATCCCTTCCAACTCTATTATTACTACTACTAGTAATAGTACCCCCAAGGTCCCTTCCAATTCTTCTTCTTCTTCTACTACTACTACTACTACCACCTCCAAGGTCCCTTCCAATTCTATTACTACCACTACTACTATCACTATTATTATTATTACTACTACTATTATTATTATCATCATCATCATCTCCAAGGTCCCTTCCAATTCTATTACTACTATTACTATTATTATTATTACCTCCAAGGTCCCTTCCAACTCTATTACTACTACTACTACTACTACTAGTAGTAGTAGTAGTAGTACCAAGGTCCCTTCCAATTCTACTACTACTACTGCTGCTGCTGCTGCTGCTACTACTACTACTACTACTACTATTATCCCCAAGGTCCCTTCCAATTCTACTACTACTACTACTACTATCATTATTACTATTATTACTATTATTATTATTATTATTATTATTATTATTATTATTATTATTATTATCATCATCATCATCATCATCTCCAAGGTCCCTTCCAATTCTATTACTATCATCATCATCATCATGATCATCACCATCTTCTCAAAAAAATAATAATAAAGAATTGGATTTATTTATTTATTTGTTTTTTAAATTTAAACCACATCACCGCAAGATGGACACGAGCAGCCCGGAGGAAGGAAGTTCAGATCAAGACCGAGGCACATAGACGGATTCGGCACACAGAGGCTTTTGGTTAGGGCTAAACGTCTCATACACTTCGACTCCGGACTTGCCATCTGGGCCCGAAGTCCAGCATCTATAAATATTAACCGGCTCGCAACGGCCCCGGCTGGGCCAGCGTCTCACCTTAATGCTGCCTCCGATGAGGTCCGGGGGCGCTTCGTCCGTTTCTAAGGCAACGTTGATGGAAGCAAAGGGGCGGCTGGCCATCTGTTGCATCTCCCGAAGCAATTGCTGAGGAATAAACACCAGGATGTTAATACAGGAGGCGGAGGGGGGGTCCGACATGTTCGAGGGCCATAGACCTTTGGGAAAAAGGAGGGGGAAGCGAGAGAAGGCAGGAGCCGAGACCCACCTCTGCTCGGAACGAAAATATTTTAAATTGTAAAACCGGCATCTAAAGCTGTGTTTCTCGACCTCGGCTGCTTTAAGCTGAATGGACTTCAGCTCCCAGGATTCCCCAGCCAGCTCGGCTGGAAGTCAAAGGCCACGATCCCAGATCCTTAATCTCCACCCACAGCGACACCAAACAGCACCAGTTTGGTTGGCGTCATCGGCCACGCTACCACCTGCCACGCTCCTGAGTTCATCAAAGCCTGGCCCTCCACCAGCTGTTCCATCCATAGACACATCGACTTACAACTGGCCTACGAAGCCCTCAGGATCCAAATTAATCACACAGCCAGAGACGGCACCGACTCTCAACCATCCCGCGCAATCCCCCACTCTCACCAGCCGTTCACCTCCCATTGACCCTGACCTGATGTAACCTCCCCGTTACAAGACCCATCTCAAGATCCTCACCCGACACACCCGTACCTGACTCATCACAAGACCCTCACTCAACACACCCACACCTGACCCATCACAAGGCCCTCACTCAACATACCCACACTTGACTCATCACAAGACCCATCACGACCCTCGTTCAACACACCCACAGTTGACCCATCTCAAGACCCTCACTCAACACACCCACACCTGACCCATCACAAGACTCTCACTCAACACACCCACACCTGACTCATCACAAGACCCATCACGACCCTCGTTCAACACACCCACAGTTGACCCATCTCAAGACCCTCACTCAACACACCCACACCTGACCCATCACAAGACCCTCACTCAACACACCCACACCTGACCCATCACAAGACCCTCATTCAACACATCCACATCCGACCCATCACAAGACCCTCACTCAACACACCCACACCTGACTCATCACGAGACCTATCACAAGACCTCGCTCAACACACCCACAGTTGACCCATCTCATCACAAGACTCTTACTCAACACACCCACATCTGACTCATCACAAGACCCATCACGACCCTCGCTCAACACACCCATAGTTGACCCATCTCAAGACTCTCACTCAACACACCCACACCTGACCCATCACAAGACCCATCACAAGACCCTCACTCAACACACCCACATTTGACTCATCTCAAGACCCATCACAACCCTCGCTCAACAAACCCACATCTGACTCATCACAAGACCCTCACTTGACACACCCACACCTGACTCATCACAACACCTACTGACCACATGAAGCCCTTATAGGCAGAAGAACACCAACTCGGACATCCCCTGAACTCCGCTGAAGATGTTACCCAGCCTGGTAACGAAACGTCCGGGAACCAACCCACAAGCTTTGGAGAAGGAACCTCCACCCACATCTATTTATCTGACAATCCATACAGGTAGATTTTGACTTGCAATTACTATGGAGATCCCCAACTTGGGCTGCTAAGCAAGGTGGTTATTTAGTAAGTCGGGACTGATTTTACCATTGTTTTTTTAGTCCCTGTTATTAAGTGAACTCTTGCAGTCATTGAGCGAATCCAGCTTCCCCCACCTGATTGACTTTGCTTGATGGAGGCCAGCTGGGATGGTTGCAAATATCATTCACACAATGCTGGGACACTGCAACTGTTGTAAATACACTCTCGTTGGGAAGCGCCCGAATTTTGACTATGGGGGAGCTGAGGCGGTCGTAAGTATGAGGCCTGGATAACAGTCCCTTTTTAAAGGGCCATATCACTTCAAATGCTGGCTAAACAAGTCAAGTACTTATAGGTCTCTAAATCTATGTATGCAAATAATAGGAAGAAGAAGAAGAAGAAGAAGAAGAAGAAGAAGAAGAAGAAGAAGAAGAAGAAGAAGAAGAAGAAGAAGAAGAAGAAGAAGAAGAAGAAGAAGAAGACGAAGAAGAAGAAAAAGAAAAAGAAGACGAAGAAGAAGAAAAAGAAGAAGAAGAAGTAGTAGTAGTAAAGCAGAAGCGTCTTTCTTGATATAACTGCATTTTTTTAAAAAAAGAGAAACAGTTCATTTCTGTTCCCAGCAGCTGTGCAGTAAGTTATACAATGACAAGTCTTCAGATTTGCTTTATTAGTAATAGGAGTCTGTTTAAGGCAGGGTTCTTCAAACTTGGCCTTTTTATGACTTCTGGACTTCAACACCCAGAATTCCTCAGGCAGGCATGCTGGCTGAGGAATTCTGGGAGTTGAAGTCCACTCCTCTTAAAGTCTATATCAGGGATCTTCAAACTTGGCCTTTTTATGACTTCTGGACTTCAACACCCAGAATTCCTCAGGCAGGCATGCTGGCTGAGGAATTCTGGGAGTTGAAGTCCACTCCTCTTAAAGTCTATATCAGGGATCTTCAAACTTGGCCTTTTTATGACTTCTGGACTTCAACACCCAGAATTCCTCAGGCAGGCATGCTGGCTGAGGAATTCTGGGAGTTGAAGTCCACGAGTCATCAAAGGACCAAGTTTGAAGACCCCGATATAGACTTTAAGAGGAGTGGACTTCAACACCCAGAATTCCTCAGGCAGGTATGCTGGCTGAGGAATTCTGGGAGTTGAAGTCCACGAGTCATCAAAGGACCAAGTTTGAAGATCCCTGATATGGACTTTAAGAGGAGTGGACTTCAACTCCCAGAATTCCTCAGCCAGCGTGCCTGGCTGAGGAATTCTGGGAGTTGAAGTCCACAAGTCCTAAAAGGGCCAAGTTTGAAAACCCCTGGTTTAAGGTTTATCTCAATAGTCATGGTTAAAAATCTCCTCTTTCAGCATTCGTTCCACCATTTTATTTATCTTTTAGCCAAGAAGGAAAAGGAGGCTAATGGAATCCAAAAAGAAAGAGAGAAAAAAAAAAGACTTTAGAAGTTACAAATAAAGAAAAGAGAATTACAATCATAAATCCGGTACTCTCGGTCAATAAAACCACAGGCTGAACACCCAAAAACTGTGACAAAATCTCTGTCTGTCTGTCTGTCTCTCTTTTTTTTTGCTGGATTTATGAAATGCCAGCGGCGCTGCACATTACACGCGACAGAAATGCGAGTTCCAGGAGGCAGAAACTCAACAGGGAAAGCATCCGTGGCCCCTCCACCAGTCTTAGGAAGACAGAATTACAAGCACGATCTTATAAAGGTGGGGAGCGATTTTTGTCAGGGACAGAAAAGATTTCAACCTGAGAGATGGTAAATGCTAAGACAGCCCATTTAAGACAGCAGGGGTTGGACTAGAGGATCTCCAGGGACCCTTCCAACTCTGACAACTCTGATCCTCTGAAGCACCTGCGGGCTGGCGCAGCAGTTAGGGTGCAGTACTGCAGGCCACTTTAGCTGACTGTGTTCAGCAGGTCAGCGGTTCAAATCTCACCGGCTCAAGGTCGACTCAGCCTTCCATCCTTCCGGGGTAGGTAAAATGAGGAGCCAGATGGTTGGGGGCAATGTAAATATATATATATTCATTGCTTACTGGTGTACACCGCTTAGAGAGTGCTTGCACTTAAAGTGGCATATAAGTCTCATAAATAAATAAAATAAATAAATCACAAGTGGACGATCGTTAAAGAGAGAAGCAACCTAGAACTAAGGAGAAATTTCCTGACGGTGAGGACAATTAACCAGTGGAACTCCTTGCCTCCAGAAGTTGTGGGTGGAGGTTTTCACGAAAAGACTGGACCACCGATTTGTCTGGGAATGGTGCAGGGTCCCCTGCTCGACCGAAGGGCTGGACTAGAAGACCTCCAAGACCCCTTCCAACTCTGCTATTCGACCTTCTGTATTCTACTACTGCTATCAGAAAGACTTTTTTTGTCTGCTGGATCCTCCACCCGGATCCCCGCCCAGAAAGCTGCCGTTGCAGAAGTGACTGGGGACAAGTCCATCCGAGGCAGGCAGCTTTTACCCTCCTCCTTTAAAAGATGTTGAGCAGATTGCCAGCTGAAGCAAGCCGCAAAAGCAGATTGCAGGGTTGCCGCTCAGTAATTGGGCCCTTCAGCTACCATAAAGTGCTTTGTCTAATGGCTGTGGAAACCAAGAAAAAAAAAGAGGAAAAAAAAAAGGCAGAGCAAGCTGTCCTGATAAATATGCCTGAAATAAGAACCTAGCAAAACTCATTAACTCGGCGAGGAGTCTGAACGTTCACACAATCAAAGCACCCACTCGTGAGGTTACTTGGACACATCTACACGGCTTGCTCACCCCTTCAAATTATAAGGCAAACACGGGGTTTCCAAGCTGGCCGAGTCACGCTCAGGATGGATGGATGGCAGACATCCGTTCGTAAGATCTGGACGTGAGGTGGGTCTCTACGAGGAGGAGGAGGAGGAGGAAGAGGAGAAGGAGGAGGAAGAAGAAGAAGAAGAAGAAAAGGACTGGGAGGTCCTTGGTGCTCTCTGAGCTGGGTAGTTTTCTTGCAGACGTTTCATGACCCAACTAGGTAACATCATCAGTTAGAAGGGAGGGGGTTTGCAAAGAGGAGGAGGAGGACGAGGAGGACTGTGAAATCCTTGCTGCTCTCTGAGCTGGGTGGTTTTCTTGCAGACGTTTCATGACCCAACTAGGTAACATTATCAATGCTAGAAAAGAGTAGGGCTTGTGGAGAGGAGGGTGATTGTGGAGTATTTTGTGCTCTCTGAACTGGGTGGTTTTCTTGCAGATGTTTCTTTACCAAAATAGGTAATAATATTAATGCTAGAAGGGAATGGGGTTGAGGAGGAGGAGGAGGAGAAGAGAAGAGGAGGAGGAGGAGGAGGAGGAGGAGGAGGAGGAGGAGGAGGAGAAGGAGGAGGAGGAGGAGGAGGAGGAGAAGAGGAGGAGGAGGAGGAGGAGAAGGAGAAGGGGAAGAGGAGGAGGAGGAGAAGAAGAAGAGGAGGAGGAGGAGGAGGAGGAGAAGGAGGAGGAGGAGGAGGAGGAGCAGAAGAAG